TGATGTCAGGTTTAATGGAGAAAGAATAATCTATGAGTTAAGTTTGCAAGATGCAAGTGCTATTTATGGCTCCAACAGTCCAAAATCCATGTTGATCAAATATATGGATGTCAGCTTTGGACTTGGATCAAATATCTTCACACTTACCCAGGGAGTAGATTGTCCTTATTTATCAAATTATTTGGACTGGCACTTTTTTCGTGATACTTCATTACCTGTTAGCCGTAAAAAGGCTATCTGCATCTTTGAGCAGAATGCTGAGTTGCCCCTACGACGACATTGTGAAAGTATCCAGTTCCCTTTTTATGGAGGCTTGGCAGATTCGCATCTGGTGTTCCGGACAATGTCTACAGTTGGCAACTATGACTATATCTGGGATTTTATTTTCCACCAAAATGGAGCTGTTGGTGTTCGGGTCCATGCCAGTGGGTACATTCAATCTTCTTTTTACTTTGGTGATGCCAGAGACTTTGGCAATAAGGTTCAAGAATGGGTGCTGGGAATAATTCACACCCACAATATTCACTTCAAGGTGGATCTGGATATTGGTGGTAAGTAGGAATACTGTTTGTAACTTTCAAGGAAACCTATGGGTTCTTTGCCCTCAATTGGCTTGCTCACAATCATTCTAGTGACTGTAAGAATTATAATGGAGAAAAACTCAAGAGCATGCTTCAGATATGTAGGGAACAGAACTTGTGTTTTAACAATTTTGAGAAGTTTTTTTTTTTTAAAATTAATGATATTTATTTCACTACCGGGCTGCTTTTAAAACTTAATTCAAGTACAACATGCACTGTTATAGTAACAAGAAAACAAAATCAGTGGCCACTCAGCAAAATATCATCGCATCAGCCTCGTAGTAATTATGCCTTCATATATTTCTCGGGTTTGGAAACATGAAGTAGTTCCAGAATCAGCACTTTTGAAATCCTTGCAGATGTCAACCAACTTGAACTGTTGGTTAAAGATGAATCTGGAAATGGGTTGCTTGTCAGATGGATTTGGAACTGGAGGCTGGTTACAGGGCAGAGGAAGAAAACTAAAAGACTGTTACAGATTATTTTCCCACCCCACCCCTGAGCCTTGAAAGTAAAAAAAGTGTTGATTAGTTATCTCTGTCCAGCACTTCCGTTTTAAAGAATTATTATAAGTGCTTGAGTTGATAGAGCAGAATATCTGAAGCAGCACTGCAACTCCATAGTCAGAGAGAGGTCTGGGGACTCCCCCTGCAGACATTTACTCAACTGATCCAGCTATTCCAGCCAGTGATTCCCACCCAGATATCAGGGAGAAGAGATAACCCAGGGGGCAAGACTTATTTTTCTCAGCCCTGGTTTGATGCAGAATGTTTTAAGGCTAAAAGTAAACTGATCAGGGAATTTAAGCTATATAAAGAGAACCAAGTTGAGCACCCCATCCAAGATTTTATGCTCCTGAAGAAACAATATAAACATTTTTTACAAACAAGAAAAGAGAATTCACTAAGGTTTCCTGGCAGCAACTGATAACAGCTTCTCAAGCCAGAAATTCCACTTTGTTCTGGCACCTCATAGCGTTCCATTCAATTGATAGGCCCCTTTTACTTCCTCACCTTATATCTGCATCTGTGTGGGAAGACCACTTTAGAGCATTATATTCACAAGAAGAGGCCCCTATAGTTGATTTAGATCTCAGTGTTAACCTGCTCCCAAACTGGGCCCCTGTCACAAATGCTGAAATAAAGAGGGTTAAAAATCAGCTAAAGCCTGGTAAATCTCTAGGCAATGACTTTATTACACCCGAAATATTATGAAACAATTTGGATTGGTGGACCCCTGTTCTTGCTTCCCTGTTTACCTATATTGATAGCACTGCACAAATTCCAGAGGACTGGGGCCTAGCCATTATCGTGCCTATTTATAAAAAGGGCAGTCGAGACCTGCCTGCTAATTATAGGCCTGTTAGCTTGTTAAGTATAATAAGTAAGCTCTATGCCAGACACTTATACAATAAACTAGTTGACTTGATTGACACAGAGCATATATTGGCAGATGAGCAAACAGGTTTTAGATCCAGATATTCTATCTACGGACATGCCCTTATACTCCAACATCTGGCTGAAAAATATACATCTAAAACAGGTTTGACATTATATACTGCTTTTATTGATTTTAGGTCTGCATTTGATTTAGTTCCCAGAGGAAGGCTCTGGTCTCAGCTCCTCCATGCTACTATTGATAGAAGGCTACTGTTGCTCATGCATAATCTCTATAAGAACTCTAGAATCAAAGTTCAATGCAGTACGCAAGGGCACCACACAAGTGAGATTCCACCTCACAGAGGAGTGAGGCAGGGTTGTATTTTAGCTCCTC